TGGCCGGGAGGTCGCTCGCGCTCGGGTCCCGTGATGGGACTGACGCCCCCCTGCTGATCCCCCTGAACCAGTTGCAATCCCAGCAGCCCCCTTCGCCGATAACCCAAATCCTCCGACAACATTGTTTTTGCAAAGCCTACAAAACATCATGTTTATAAGGGTCCAACTCCGCGCGTATGGGGGCCATCGGTATGTACAGTCATTCAAATCATGTGTCCCATTAACTTCCACCACCAAGCGGCAGCAGTATTTGTTTATGCTGTCTATGAGCATGAGCGCGTGGCAGATTTAAGAAAAATGCAAGTGCGGCGGCGCCTTGGACCCATTGGGCGATCACCGTGCGGCCTGCCCCACGGCCAGAATTTTGGGCGCGCGGGGTGCGCCTCTCGAATGGGCAGCGGCCCGCGTGTGCCACGAGGCTGGCGCACGCGTGGCCTCTAACGTCCTGCTCCGGGACATGAGCATTGATGCCCCCGCGCTCGACGCGCGTCGCATCGAGGTGCTGGCCAATGGCCTCCCGCTTTGGCAGTGGGCGCAGGCTGCCGTAGACACCACCTTGGTCTCGCCGGTAGCGCGCGATGGTGAGGCGCGTCCCGGCGCCGACCGTGTCGCCGGCCACGCGGTCTCCGCTGCGGCCACCCGAAAAGGGCGGGATACATACCCGGAACTGGCGGCAGCTCGCCGGTGCAAGCTCGTCGTGTTGGGTGTGGAAGTGGGCGGGCGATTTGGAGTGGAGGCGGCGGCTTTCTTGCGAAAACTCGCCGCGGCCAGGGCGCGTGAAGTGCCGGCCCGTTTGCGATCCGCCGCCCGCCAAGCGTCCTTGCACCGCTGGACGGGCATGCTGGCAATCGCTGCTCAGCGAGCGTTTGCCCACTCGCTGCTGGAACTCCCACCAACGAGTGTTGATGCGAGCAGCGGCACTGAGCCGCTCCTGGGCGATTTGCCGGCGGAAGCACGTGGCACTCAGTATGTGCCCAACAGCCGCCTGCCCGCCCTGATGGGGCCGCGAGGCTAGCTCGCCGGCCGCTGACACGCATGCGGAGCCCGAAGCGCTCCTGCTGTCACTGACCGGGACCTGTCGAGCAGACGGAAAAGTAAAAAAAAGATGCGCAAGAAAACAAAATAATTACACGTGAGTTTTGGATGCGGCGTTGTGACAGGTACATGAAAAAGGTTATGAAAACAGCCCGGCAGTCCGCTTAGTCCGGTAAGGCTGTGTTTCTGATATGGAAAAGGCATGTTTTTGGTGCTCGGCCAGGCCAAGCCCTAGTTGGGGCAGCCCGCCGCAAGCGACGCCAAACGTACCCCGAGCTTGTGCGCGCCCGTCGCTGCCGCTTGGTGGTCGTTGGTGTCGAAGTCGGAGGCCGGTTCAGTGCTGAAGCTGCCACGTGGCTACGCTTGCTTGCGCGCCACCGTGCATCTGCGGCCCCGGCAACTTTGCAGTCCGCTGCACGGTCCGCGTGGCTAGCTCGGTGGTCGGGCCTTCTTGCGGTCGCGGCACACAGCGCCTTCGCCGCCTCACTCCTGGAGCTCCCTTTCGCCGGGGAGTGCGACGTCGGAGGGGAAGCGCCCGAGCTGCACGAAGTCCCCGCTGACGTGCGCTGGCAGCTCCCCGTTTATGCAAGCAGGCTGGGGCCCTGCTGAGCAGGCTGGGCCCAGGCTGCAGCAGTCCCGACCGTCGCTGATGACGCAGACGCCAAACGGCGCGTGAAAAAAGAGAAAAAAGCAAACAAACAGAAAAAACAATGCCAAGTAGTCGCATGGCGCATCCTTGCTCACAGATTTGGAACTGCAATTTCGGTGCGGCATTGCGTTCTAATGTGCAATCTTGGATGAAATCATGATCTGCCTGACAGTCCGGTTTGTCCAGTACGGCGTGTTTCAATGACGTGCAGTGGGCGACCAAGCAGTCCGGTTGAACCTGTGAGTCATTGATTGATGGCCATGCAAAAACAGAGTGCGTTTCATTTGAGGAATGTGTTGCAGGATGCTTCCTAAGCAGCCCAACCCCAAACCTTCAACCCTCATAAACCCCGCAATCAACCACAAGCCTTCAAACCTGAACCCCAGAAAGCCTCCTTACCCCCCGTATTGACAGGCCCATTTGAAAATTGTGAGGCTGACTCGCAGCCGTGGATGCCCTAATGCTGGACATTGGCCCCAAACCGTGAACTTAAGCTGTGATAGTTTCATGCCCGAGCCGCGGAGCCTGTGGTGCCCAGCCGCCTACCTGCGCCGGGGCGGGCGCGCTGACGGCAGGCCAGCGGTAGGTAGCAACCGACCCAAGGAGATCATGTCGTGCAGGCATAAAAGTCCGAGGAGGAAAAAAAAGAAGTTTCAAGTTTCATCCGAAAGGGCGCAATAGAATCCCCAAGCTGGGTTCCCAAAACCCCCCATCCCTGAACCTAAGCCTTTTACCTTCAACCTTTCAGGCCTAGCCCGAAACTATGAACCTAGCCCGAATCCTCAACCTAAAAATTAAATCTTTAACATTCTTTAACCTTAGACTTTAAACGTTAAACCTTAACCCTGAACATTGTCTCCGAGCCCCAGCCTCTCAACCTTAATTTAACCGCGACAGCCCAAAAAACTTACCCTGAAAAGCCACCTTCTAATCCCTAAACCTGACACCGCCGTAAACCCTAAACATGAAACCCGAAACCCTAAGCCTTAATCCTAAAAAACATCGTCCCCAAACTTCTTCACCGTAAGCCGTAGCCCCCCCGAAAGCAAAACCGCAGGCAACCTCGACACTAAAAAATCCAAATTCCAAACCCTAAACCCCCCAAACCCCCTGGCCTGAAACCCTAAACCTTAAAAATCTCCCCGAACCCTAAGCCCCTAAGCATAAACTGTGAGCCCAATGTGTTCAACCTTAACCCTTGAACCTAATCTTCCCAACAAATGCCAGCACAGGCCAACTTGCAGGGAAAATATCCACGTATTCATTTAAATGCTCTACCTGCAACACCTGGAGCCCAAACCCTTGGCCCTAAATCGTTGAAGCGCTGGCTGCCAGCTTTAAGTTGTATGCATGTGACTTTATACTGTGAACCTAACGCTCCCGAAACGATCCCAACCCGGGCCAAGTTTCAGGGAAAATGTTAAGCTATTTCTTTCCCGGAAAAACGTGTTCTGCAAGCAGCGCCGCAAGCCCAAAATCCTTTGCCCTAAATCGTTGAAGCTTTGGCCCCCCAACCCTTAAAACCGCGAACGTTGACGCCGAAAACATCCCAGCCAAGGGGGGAAGTTTTCAGGGAACGTATTCATGCAATTATTGTTCGGGAAAACGGGCCCCACCTGAAAGCCGCAAAGGCCCTGAACCCTGGCCCGAAATCGTCAAAACCTCAGCCACTGGCCAAGTGGCCATGTCAACCTTCCAATCCAATCGTTACAAATCCCAGCCCGGGCCAGTTTTCACCTACCCTTAATCCGTAAACTTAGCCCTTACCTTCCCGTGACACCATGAACTCAAAACCCGCAAAATGTAGAGCCGTCGTCGTTTTGGGAGCTGTGATTCCTGAATTTTTGACAGTTGCATGCTTGTGCTCCTCGTAAAGCGCAGAATTGTCGTTATTTTCAGAGCTGAGCCCGGAGAAGTCACAAGTGACTCCAGGCGTTTTTGCTGAGAGGTGTCGCAAAATTGTGTGTTTGAGAAGTCGCAAGTGAACCCCGACGGAAGTCACAAGTGACCATACCCTGGATAAGTCACACGTGACGTTCGGGAGAAGTCACCTCCTTCCGGACGGCGTTGTGGTAAAACAGGTGCGGGGGAAAAAAATCAGCGCAATCATGTTGGGCAGCTGGCGGCTGAAGGCGGAAGCGCCCGCATTTTGTAAATTCCAGAAATTCCTTCAGCCCCTGCACGCTCTAATGAAAGGGGATCGGGGCTTTGCCTTCGCGCTCCGGGCTTGGGATTTCTTGAGTAGTCAGCAGTCAGCAGCATAGTGCGGGTGTAGTGTGGATATCCCGAAATTGTGGACAGCTAAAGCGCATTCGGCAGAACACCGGATTCCCCTTCGCCACATGATATGCCACCAGCAGAATTCCAAATTCTGTGCGGGCAAGCGAAGGCAAACAACGCTCCCGCGTGGTGTCCAAATGCGGTGACTCAACCTTTGCTTTAGACGCGATTGTTCGAAATTTTGGGGCGTAGGATGGTGTAAGGTTCAAAGTGCCCGGATCCACGTCCACGCAGTTTGCGCTGCACTGGGACCGTGCGAGCAGATCAACAAGCTCATGCCAACGCACAACAGCAAGGCATGCAGTGCAGGCGGGCGCACACCTGACAGCGAGGAGCCGCAACTCTCAGGGCAGGGTGTGGATTGAGCGTTTTGGGTGCACGGTCCCCAAACCAATCATCCACTTTCATTTGCCCCCCAAAATTTGAATGGCAGCTTTGTTCTCTTGAGCCATTTTGAGCCTACATGGCCAAACTTCGTCTCTTTTGAGAGTGCTGTTACAGTGTCTGCCCAGCCTGAAGTGTCCACACGTTTGAGAATATTGAGAGTCTTGTCACAATAATTTTAGAACATGTGCTCCACATGGGGTGTCTTGACAGAACCTAGAATTTTTGAGAATGGGTGGGGTGTTGAGTTGTAGTGCGAATGAAGGGATTATTGCTTTCACATTTCCCATAGAAGATTACGGAAAACGCTACCTAATTGCTCTTTGCTTGCAACGAAAATCGTGCACCGACTGCCCAATGCTTGCCTGCCCCAGCAGGGCGGAGGGGAGGGGAAAATATTGCCATAAATGTCAACAGGCACTCGTGCTTCCATCCTAATGGGATATGCAGCAATACAATTTACCTTCGCTGCTTCGCGATACATTTGTCTAGATACACTCTGCACAATGCAGAATTGCAACATTTGGTTCCTTTCAGCCTTGGCCAGGTGGACGGCAACGAACATTGCGCAAACTCAACTTGCAGTTCCCAAAACAGGCTTTGGGGCTGCAGGCTCATGGAAACTTGTTTTGACAGAGCCACAGCTGATGAGGCCGCCGGCGGTATTTTGCCCTTGGTGTTGGTGGCGCTTTGGCATTTGGCTGCTTAGACGAGGGCTTCCGACGCTGCCTTGAATTTTGGGTGGCAACCTGAGAGCACGTCAGGGGTAGCTGCGGGGTTGCGCGAGCAACTTTTGCTGAGGTCGTCGTTTTCCCGCTGTGGTGCTGGGCTGATGGTGCTCCAGCTCTTCAATGTCTGGCCGCACTTGTCCGCCTAGGTGCCATTACTTTTGGGTAGACAAGGCATGGCCAGGAGTGCAAGAATGAGAAGAGGAGCTGTGCAAATTCGTGGGGGCCGTGGTGTGCAGGTTTCTCATCCAAAAGGTGGGCCAAAGGGTGATGAGGCGCGAGACAATGAATTCAGCATCTCTTCTGCGGAGAAGGAACTGGTGCTACTCGCTGTATCAATCATTAGCTATTTTGTCAAAGAACCGAGGCAAACTTCATGCACGCCCCCTGCTTGCATTGTTTTTGGGGCCAGCATGACCAAGTGGGAGAGTTTGAACGTTCATCGGAACTTTGTTGTCTGACGAGGCAGGCTTAGAACCAAGATCTGCTGTGATGGTATCAGTTGCATATTGTGCTCCTCAGGTTATTCTCCAATCATCCGCAGTGCCACCTTGTGCCATTCACAGAGATGTGGTAGTTTCCCAAAATAGGGGGACCCCAATATAGACCCCAAAATATTATAGTCCTTATTATGGGGACCCCAAAAAGGTACCCATAATTTTGGGAAACCCTAAACCCTATAAGATCCCCTATATAATCCCAGTTTCCATTTCATTTTCCATTTTCTTTTCCATTTGATTCTCCATTATTGGGAAACCCCCATGTAGATGAGCAAAGCCGCTTTGTCAGCATACCCGGTTCAAAGTCAATGAGGCTTTGGACTATGAGGTACATGCGGGGCTTTTACCTGAAAGCGGCGCAGCTCGTGTCCACTCGGGATGATTTTCTGTTGGAAGCCCAGCATGGAAGGATGCTGCATAACTAATGTATGTAGGCACAAGAAGGGCTGTGCGCCCAAGGCCCGAGATTTACTTGGAGTGGTTGAGAAAGCTGCAAGACGAGGCCACCAACACTTGGCATATTCGATCTCGCATATTCAATGTTTTGCTTTGTTGGATCTGAGCCGCGCTGGTAGGTTCCCATGACGTTGACGTCAGAGGAAGCGAAACGTGTCATTGCTCAGGAGCGCACCTTTGTTTGATGCGCGCGTCCAGACATTCAGAAGCGCGAGGGTCACCGCAGCATGCACGTACACATTCACATGACGTCAGGAACTCAAGCTAGCCGATGTGGAAACTGTGCTTACCGACTGGCAAGATGATCCAATCGGGACCGCGTCCATTGGGCAGGTCTACAAGGCAACCATAAGCAGATCCGCACTTTAGTTTCACGTCATGCAGCATGCCAGGAGTGGTTCATCTTGCTACAGCTTATTTTTGTATTATCGATTGGCTTCTGCCCACTTGCCCCTACTTGCCCGCAGTTGCGCCCCCCTTTGCCACCCCCTTGCTTTGCTTGGCCAATTCTGCCCCACTCCCAACTTGCCCTGCTGCCATCCTGCCGCTTGCCTCTTCAGGCCAGTTCGCGCTAGCCTTGCCAGTAACCGCAATTGCCGGTTCAGATTTTTCTGCCTTTGATCCACGGCCTCCCCTGTCGTGCTGCAAAGGATTCGCAAGATTGTTACGACTGTTTTTGACGTTTTGCCATGGGATCTTTGCAGGGGCAAGGAGGGGGGGGGCGGGGCGGCGTTCGCGAACAGCATGAAATCTCTGATTTGTTGAGGCCCGCTTGAAGTCCACCGGCGAGGAAGTTGCCATCAAGGCACGTTGAGAGCCTCCAGCATGGAGGGCTAGGATTCAGATGCAGAGGTAGGATGATTTCGCACTTGCGGATTCCGGTTTAGTCCAAGCAGTGTTACATGTGCCCCCAAAGCAAGACAAAACATCTAAAGTTCATGTGGCCTAGAAGCTTCGAGATTTGTTAGTAGCAATGTTGTTTGCAAAATTCATTCGGAAAAACAGCACGCCATACTTACTTACTGCTTGATGATTCCAGTTATTGAGGCCCCCTTCCTATCACAGGTGCAGGTTCCCAAAGCGGAGAGGATGTTCCGTGCGTGGCCTAGTTGTCCAGCGCTCCTTCCTGCGTACACTCCAACAGGTTCAGATCTTGTTTGCAGGAAGCAAGCAACTCCCATGCACCCAACGGCGCATACTGTTCAATGATGGACTGCTTGCTTGAGGTGCTGACATCGCCTGTTTGAAGATGTGGGTGGCCAAGCATTCATTCCCATTATTTATATTATTTTTACTGCTACTACTGCTGGTATTATTATTGTTGCTTCTCGTGATAATAAAGAACAGTAGAACGATTATTATTAGTATTACTACTGTTATATTCTCGTTATTCTTATTGCGTTCAATATCAAGCTCTTTGCCCTGCTAAGTCGTGCGAAGCGGAAAGGACGTGAGCCTTTCAAGCTAGGAGATGGGGGATCTTCAACAGGTTACAGGGTTCAGGGTTTAGGACGAAGAACGCAGGGAGAAGCTGAGACATTCTTGCTTGTTGTGTCTTGGCATTCCTCAGGTTTACCTACATGGCCATCCCCTGGGCCTACGATCCTTAGCTGCAGGGCAGAGAACATCGGCATGCGGCTTGAGAGAGCAGGGTCTCGTATCTTGCGTCGCGCCTTGCCCCGAAGAGAGCTTGTTATCTGGACAATCACCCACAGTTATATTTCCCGCGATGCGGACAAGGGCGGGGATTAGTGAATCCGTGAGCTGCAGAGGAGAACATGAAAGAGATCGAGAAGCTTTTCGAGACGGAGTTTGATTACACGGAGGAGTTTCGCTTCGTGGCCATGATTCTGCCTTTGAGAAACCTTTGCACGATTGGGCCCATGTCTGCTTCGGCACTGGGATGAGGTTCAGCAACACGTCATTCACCATGTGCATTGTGATGGTCACATACGGCATAAGCCGCGGCAAGCCGCACTCGCTCCTCGAACGAAGCCAAGGAAACTTGGAAGCCATGCGAACGAATTTGTTGCCGTCATGGGGGCACAAGATATACATCCCAAGGCTCCGAGTGGCATTCCAGAGAAGCACAGCAGAGTCTGCCTTGGCAGGCCGATTCCGGAGCTCTGCTCGCGGCGTGTCCTGGGCATGGAGCTGTTGAAGGGTGAGAAGCTTTCCAGCGGCAGCAAGCAGTATGTTGTTTGCGTGCGGGAGCAAATTTAACATTTGTCATGACCCCGTGCAATATTTGTAAGGTTCATCACGGCTGTAAGAAGACGTTTGAAGCCGCTGGCCGAGCGAAGAGGAATCACAGTTGAGGAGTACGAGCAGGATCCACATCCGGAACATGGGCTTAGTAAGGTACCCTAACATTCAATTTTTGGTTTTGGTGATCTTTGGGTGTTTCTAGACTTCAGGGGAGCCCGTGGGTGCTGCCTTTGAGTCTTTCCCTAGAGCACAACCTCTAAACAACAACGGCCAAAGCTTCAACCTAAGCCCGTGTATGACCCTTTATAGTAGTTTCCATTTCCTTTTCCATTATCCCTATAGTACCCCCATATTTTCCTACGTAACCCTATATAACCGAACCCCACAGGCCCTAAACCCTGACCGGGCCTTGTTGCAGCAAGGTGCTTGTTGAAGCTTTCCGCCCGAAACCCCACAAGCTAACTTATTTTTACGTACCTGCTGGAGTGCGATGCTCGTGCCCAACTTAATTTTCGAGCCCTCCGCCCTGAACCCAACCCTGCAACCTTACAGCTCTTAAACCCTAAATTGCAAACCTTGAATCCTAACCTCAGCACCTTACCCTCAAACTTAAATCCCAATCAAATGAAGCCTAAGGCCCTAAACCCGGCTGTGGACTGAAGTGCCATAGTACTGTTGGGTGTCATGGTATTGTTCAATGTTATTACTGTTGTTGACTGTTTTTACTGTTATTACTAGTGTAATTCGTATATGGCCTCTGATTTTCATCGGTCCTTGAGCCGTCAACCTTGTCCCAAGCTAGCCAATGGCTAGACCCAAAGGAGCGACTGCGAAACTGCAGGTCGCCTGCAACCAGGGGGTGCTGGGGTATGTAGAAATTGTATAGGGTTCGTGTCCGGAGTTTTGAGCAACTGTTGGGCCGGTTGTTGAAGACCCCATACAAGATCTGCGCGCTTGGGCTGTGTGACCGTGCTGGCACATGACTGTCCACCTATGCCGCGCACAGAGACGACGACAATATGTCTTCACTCCAAGCGGGAGAAGGTAACCACTTGCTTGCTTGCGAGCTTAGTCCCAACCTACACGGATGGGCTATGCAACTGTGGTTGCGCATGACTGTCCGGAGTCTAAGGCGTCCACTTTATGGCCATGGACTGTAACAACAAAGGTTGTGGCGAACATGTGACGAGCACGGAGGAAACTTAACCTCTCTGCTCATCCTTCTTGTGAGCGCCACTTCTCGTGCAAGATCTGAAGTTACAAATTCGGCAGCGATGGAATATGTGTCAAACTGTTATTTGTCAAGTAATCTGTAGCTCGTAGCAACCTTGAACATTCAGGCTGCGTGCATAATGTAGGGAAAGCGAATTCTGCTGCTCTGGTTGTGCATCCTGTTGTGTCCCAAAAAGATCCAAAGAGGCAGCGAGGAGGGATTGGAAAAAACCAAAAGCCACTGTTTTGAGTAAAGCTCCCAGGGCAGGAGCAAAAAAGGAAAAACCGGTCAAAAGTTGCTCAAAACTCCGGACACGAACCCATCCTATACAATTTCCAAACGCTTAGCCCTAAACCCTCCCACAAACAACCCAAAACACCAAAATAGTGGTTTCCATTTTATTTTCCATTATCCCCATATAACCCCAACCTAACCCTAGCTTCCATTTTCTTTTCCTTTTCCCAACATATAACCCCAATATCGCCCCAATATCACCCCAATATAACCTTAATATAACCCTAATCTAATCCCTAATATAACCCTAATCTATCCCTAATCTAACCCCTAATATAACCCCTAATATAACCCCTAATACAACCCTACTGATTTCGTCCAGGAGCAGCTCGAGGCCTTGCGAACCGGGAGGCGGAAAGCCGAAAGCGTGACTTCGCCAGCCTAAACTCCTAGTATCCCCCTTAGGGTTTAGGGTTTAGGGTGTCGGGTTTAGCTCAAACAAGCCCTATAGTGGTCCCCTATACAACCCCTATAAACCCCTTTAAGGAGCGTAGGTTTTCCTGGATAGGGGTTTTCCAGGATTTCCAGGAGTTTTTAAAGGCTTCCTAGGATTCTCCTGACAAGATTGTTTAAGGGTTTCTAAGGGTTGCCGAGTGTTTGCTACGTGTTTACAAGGGTTTCCGAATTTTCTCAGGCCGTCTAATGATGCCCCGATTTGGGTTGCTGGAGTTTTAGGTGCAGGACTTTAGCATTAGTGTTTGATGCCTTGGATGTGTACCATGCCCTGCAGTTGCTTGAGACTCCACTAGCTTTTCTTTTCACAAAGACTAGTCTTTGGCACCGGGCCTGTTTGAAGATTCCAGGTTAGTTCAGGGAGACGAGGGGGCTGCTGTCAAGTTTAAGTTAGGTGCTAGCATGTAAGACGTCGGCCTTTGGGCTCAGGATCCAGGGTTCAGGCTCAGGGTTCATGGTTCGGATTAATTAATGTACGTTTGGAGTTTAGTAAGGGGCTTCTCCTGACAGTTTAGTGCATGCTTGACCTGTTCGCTTATAGAGTTGCATGTCCTACGCTTGCGTTATTGTTGGGCTGATTCTGCTGTAGCTTGCTGGGATCGAACGGATTATGTAGTTTGGTTGTTATTACAATATAGACATCAATTTTTCTCGGGACATCATGGCGATTTTGCAGGAGTGTTTCGCGAAATCGGCTGCAGGTGAGGTCCGCTCGGGGAAGTTTAGGCCAGCCCACAAACTGCACTGAGCAGAATTGCTTCTTCCATCCTTTGTACCTTGCAGCCTCCCCGGTTTACCCTACCTCGTCTGTGATGTAAATTGCCAGCCAATTGGTCTGGGACCTTTGGGGGGAACTCGTGTTTTCTGAACAAACAAGTAAACGTTGCACTTTCAAACCTTTACGATTTCTCCTGATTTTTTTCCCAGCTTGTTCAGTGCTAGGTTTTGGTAATTCATGGCGAGCGGTGTGGCCGTGTTCTTTGATGGATGGGATGGGTGACTTGCATTTGCAATGTGCTTAGGCAGCCTGGCTTCACTTCAAGATAAGCATCTGGCGATTCTGGCGAAGACTGTGCGGCGCGCCGGCAGACATGGAGCCCATTGACGTTCCTGGCTGCACCTAAACAAATCGGTTCATAGTGATTTCAAAGCGCCCGCCTCAACTTGGGCCTTTGAGCCCGGCGGGTATCTTTAAAGGGGTTCATAGGGGTGAAAAAGGGTTTGGGGTCTAGGGTTTAGGGGTTTCCCAAAATTGAAAGTACCAATTTGGGATTCCTAGAATAATAAGAACTATAGTATATTCGGGTCTATGTTGGGGCCCCCCTATTTTGGGAAACTACCATATGTGCAAAGGAAGAACCGTAAGATCCTTGTTGTTGAGGATGCGAAAAGCCAAAGACATGTTTTGATTTCCCCAAAGCCACCGTCACTCACCCGCACGAACTCTTCCTAGCGGAATGTTGTTGCAAAGTCCAAATGCATGTTTTAGTCGCATCATAAGTGGCAAAGCCATGAAACCCGACCTTCATGGCCCACGTGCTTGAACCTAGCCGTGAGCTTAAACATGCTGAAGAGAATTCGAAATCCACGAGGGAGGACACTTGAAAGAGCACGGGTTGGGCTTGCGGTATCATTAAGGCAAAGAAGATATCTCCCATGACCTCCCTGGATCACCAATCCCGAGACTCTGAACCCAAAGCTGCTGACCTGTCTTTGTGCCTGATGCCCCTGAGGTTGGAGGCATTTTTGAAATGCTGATGTCCATCCATGGCCAGCAAGTCATACAAGCTGCCTGGCAAGGCAATGCTTGTACCTGTTCTTGCAGCTTTCATGACACGAGTTCAGCATGTCATCATGCAGTCCCAGGATTTTACACCACCAGGAGCCTTCTTATCGCAGCGTAAGGATGGATGTTTCAATGCTGACCCGCACCCTGGCAACATCCTCATGCTGGAAGACGGCAAAACGCTTGGCCTCATTGACTTCGGGCAAGTGATGTATGTTCCAGTTGAGCCTGTGGTTGAAGTTAGCTTCACGCCGGAGATGCTGTTTCTGGTTTTATGGAAGTGGGTGATTGTCAAAATTATGGTCCCTTTTGGGGTCCCTATTATAATACGGCACCTAATATTTAGGGTACCCAAAAAGGGGCCATAATTTTGACAATCACTCAAATGTGTGGTGGAGCATTCAAAGAAGTCACATTTTGAATGATGGGCTTTAGCAGAAGTATACGCTGGACCTGTCCAAGGAATTCCGCCTCAAGCTAGCCAGACTGATGGTAGCACTGTCGCGCCGTAACCCCTCCGATGTGGCACGGTATGAAAGTTGCTCGACGTCGCACTTGACGGAATTTTTGTTCCCTGTAGCCATTGGCATGCTTGTAGCTGACAAGAGCAAGGTGAAATCGGTGTGGCTTGGCTAGTTCATCATTTTTGAATAGAGGGAAGTTCATTAGTGCAAGAGCAGCTCATATAGTTTATGTTTAGCACCATTATTTATACATATAGTGTTGTGTGGCAGCGCAGATTCTCCGTTTTTTTGTTGGCGGTCCACGGCTTCAGTCCAGCAGCTGCATTCAACACAAAGCATATAGCCTGGAGGTGAAAAGAAAGTATTACAAAGAAGATGTGCAGTATCGCATTTGCTCTTTCTGGCTGGACCGAGATGACGAGGACTGCAAGCTTGGTCATGGACTCTGTATGGAATTCTTGCTTCTCCAGATCGGATAATGAAAACGAAAGTAGCAACTACTGTAGTATATTGGAGGTATACAGGGATAACGGAAAAGAAAGTGGAAACTACTAGTATGAACCGCGTTGGTGAGCATGAATGGCATTTCATCATGAGCTTTACTTTCCTCTGGTTTCTATTGCCCTATGCGCAGTGCCCACATGCTCCTACGCACCTAGATGCTCTTTCTGAAAGCAGCAGGAGATCACGCAGGGCCGCAACATTTTCGATCTGATGGTATGGGGAGAATCAGAGGAGCCATGTAAACCTGCCAGTGGTTTTGTATTGATGGTAATGCTGCTTGTGTAGCTGCTGGGGTGTAGTTTATGGAAGGCAGTTTTCTAATGTTGCCAATGACCAGCGAGTGATCAGGAGATATGCTGTGGGGGTTAGAGAGGGATGCACAGTGAAGAAGGGAGAAGAAAAGGGAGTCTTGAGAAATGAGCTTTGCTTCGTTTTTTTGCTGGAATTCGTGGCATTGTTTTTGGTGGAAAGTAATTTAAGGCGGTCTAGGAGGGGCAAGGGGCCGCAGGACTACCACTGCAACGCTAGGTTGGTGTTCAACAGGGCCAAGGGCTTTGTTGCATGCTTATCAAGGGCTGATACTCTATGGCATTAAACCCTGAGCCCTAAATCCTAGACCCTAGATCCTAGACCCTAAACCCCAAATTCTAGACCCAAAGCTTGACCCACACAATGCTTGAAGTTCATTGATCTTTTTTGATTGCAGCTTCTGGGCTCTGATATGTCCCAGCCTCTACCATGGCGTCCTTCAAAGACTTGCTGAAGGAGCTGAACGTCAGGCCGGCCTAGATGAGTTTTTTTTTTCAAAGAGTCTCTGGTGCTTAGTGGAAACCGGCTCCTATTCTTGGGGGATTACTTAGGCACTGCAGGTATGCATGTCCTCTTGCCCTCTAAGCATCACGTAGAAGAATGTTTGTACCAGTAAATGGGCTTTGATTTTTCATTTTGGGGAGGTCCTGAATAGCCATGGGGGAAAGAGAAACACACAATACAAGTGGCAGTGGCCGTAGACAGTACTAGCAGCAACATTCCTCCAGCTTCCGTGGGTTGAACATACTGACAACCTGCTTTGGAGACAGTCTGCACCCTCCTCTCAGGTACGAAAATGATGTGGCCACGCTTACGGCACAGTGCCATCGCCTCATCCAAGAAAATCAGCGGCTGAAGGGGAATGAGGACCATTGTGTTTGCAATATATTTTGTTCCCGACTCGCGAACCAGCACGTTTCACACGATCCTCACACTTGTCACTTGTCACGAGCACAGTCTGTCCCATGTAGTTCGGGTTGTTGTGCAGCCAGGCCACTGGGTTTTGCTGCTTGGTGAGACTTGCCATGGCTGAGCATGAAACACCCCAGAGGGCTGTCCTAGGCGGCTCTAAAGTGGCCCGATTTCGGTTTGGAAGGAGCACGAGATGGGGCCAGCATACTGTAGTTGCTTGCGTGTTGGCCGTAAAAGGCTTTTTTTGCTTACGGAACGCTTGAATTACAAAGACGACGCCCCGGTCAGTGCATGCCATTGCATGCTTTGGCTTAGGAGGACTTAGGAGGAGCTCGTTTGATGGATGAGCAAGTTTTAAGTTTAGCCGGTGACAGGCAGGCCATGCAATGCATTTTCAGTTCTTGTGGGCCAGGAGCGCGAGCTCACAGTTGAAGTTCAACAAGAAGATGCAGAGACAATGGATAAAGAAAATGAGAATGCTGATGCAGTGGGTCCAACCAGGCGCTGGCAGCTGTCTTGCTTGCAATGTCATGCGTGCTTCTTCAGGGTTGATTGGGATTGGTGAAAGTACGGTCCATCACGGTAGTAGGCCTTCTTGATAATAGTCCCGAGCATCTGCAATATCAGTATACTCTTTGACCTTTTCCAATGTCTTTAAGTTGAAGCGTCCAGCAGCACCTGATGAGGACCCAGAGGCAAGCACTCTCTGGCATCACAGGGTCAATGCACTTTGGGAGCAAGAAGACGGTACTTCCAAAAACGCCGCGTGACTGCAGTCAGGAAAGGATGAATGTTGTGTTTTGTTGTGCATATCCCCGGCTGTAACACAGAAAAAGCAAGGCATTCTTCAATCAGGGCCACAAAGTCTCAAGCATTGGACTTGCCATGTTTCATGGATGCCTTGATAATCCAATCTGATCCCCATTGATGCCTCCAATATAGTAAAAGTACCTATATCATCTTAGAAGTTGTTTGGGAGGCAAAGTGCCATCCTGGTGAACAGCCGACTGGTCCGCGTCCTCTCGACTGGGTTGGATTGGTGGTCAAGCCTGGAAGAGCCCAAGCGTAGCGGAATCATCTACAAGATTGTGGAATCCAAATGCTTCTGGTGCAGCCGAAAGCATTAGGTGTTGCTCGCTGTGGAGAGCTTGTGCAAGTTCATGGCTCACCCTAAACTTGAAACATCAGGCGTTTGCCTTGCATTGGGCCTTGTGCCACACGAGTGATGAAAACCTACAGGTGCATCTCAATCTTGGTCATTCTGATTAACGCGGTCTCCATAACTTCAATCACAGCCCCTCGGCCTTGCATGACAAGGTTGTATGATTGTCAGACATTTCCGGATATGTGGGAGAACTCACCAAATCAGTGGTCAATTCTGCCGATGCTGCTGTACTTAGCTGGTCAGGACATCTCTTTGGCCGAAGACTGGGGAGGAGGCCAGTTTGCGCTTGCCTTGCAGTTCGCACCAGCGGCCTTCTGCATCGGTCAGGTATACCGACTGCCCTCATCAACGTGGAGATAGCCTGCTTAGCGGCCATGTGGCAACCAGCACCTTTTGCCGGAGTTTGTGGTCATCTTTAGCCTAAGCTTTTTTCCGTCCGTCCATTGCTATGCAATTCAGAAACACGTGCAGACCTTCTACTTGCTGGAGCTAGTGCTTCGCTTGGCGGTGCACCGGGTCTACTTCTTCGTCAACGAAAACTCAGGTTGGAAACTTGATCCGCTAACGAGTGAACCACCTGGTATCTCTTTTTGCTAGAAATTGGTAGAAGATACCAGAACAAGCATCCTGTTTCATGCTCCTTTCTAGAACAAGCTGCCGCAAAGACAGCACATAAGCACTTCTGTTTTGAAGTGGCAAAACACTTCCCAAACAACGAAAGCTGAACTCTGATCCTTCGTGCACTGAGGAACTGGTTGGATCTGCTTCTAGTGGCTTTTAGCATCGTCGAAATTGCCGTGCTTTGGGGCACGGACGGGGAATCTGGTACTGTTTTGTACATGCGCCTCTGCCAGAATCTATGGGCCTGTGCCAAAATTATGAACTTCATGCCAGGCTTCCCAGATCCAGGATTCTACTTTTGCAGGGTGGAAATAGGAACCCAGATTTTGGCACATGCCCACATGTGTGGGGCAGTATGCGTCGTGCTGTTGGAATGAGCTGGGGCCGCGTACCCGCAAGGCGAACCCTTCGGATATGCAAGGTCTCGAAAGCAGTTCGCATTTTCCGAGTTTTGACGGCTTTTCGTGAAGCTTGGCTGGCATGTTTACACTACACAGTAGGAGGACGCAAAGTTTTGGCATGTTGAAAACTCCTGAACTCCTTAGTAGGGAGTAAGGGAATATAATCAGTATATAAACCCTATATATTCTATTCCCTTCTTCCGTACCATGAAACCAGTATATACCCTACTATGATGTAGTAGTTTCCATTTTCTTTTCCATTATCCCTATACAACCCCAATATATTCCTGTATTCCCTAGTAAGAACCGGTAAGTCAGAAGAGAGCAGTCCCTGAGGCATCCACGGTAGTTGTCAACGTGGGCATATTACGCACCACAGGTTGTCCATCATGTAATTCGCGGGGGCTGTGGGACATTACCAGGTTGCAACCCTAAACCCTAAACCCTAAACCGCGTGTGATAACTTGGGTTTTTACCTGCCTAGACTTGCTTTGAGCTACTTTGTGTCCGCGACAAGCCGGGGGGGGGACATGTTGCGTTTCAAGCCCAACATCTGAATACCCAGGGTAGTTCTGAGTGGGGTTAACCCGCAATAGCCGTAGCGCAACTACAGGCGCAACCAAAAACCCCGCATCTACAGCCCAAGATAGATATGTCAGGATTTGTTTTGCATATTTACCGGGCCCCCGGGTCGACTGATAGAGGAAGGCTTTGTTTTGTTGGAGCTAAAAGGAAAAAACAGATGTGCTTTCAAGCTTTACTGAATAAAAGATCTTGGGTTTGGCCAAGTTTTCAAAAGCAAGCAGCCGCAGACTTCACAGACTTTGTGGGCTCAGGAATTGGCAAGCCTGTTGGAAAGCTTCCGGTCAAGCTTGAAGCTCGGCTGCACTTGGGGCCCTCGACTCTGCCAAACCCTAAACGGCAAGCCCTAAACCCTAAGGCCTAAACTCTAAACCTAACTTAGCTTACCTTGTGCTTTGGGACCATGATCTGGTAGCATCCTGGAGGAATTGACTCTGGAGAAGAGGTCCAATAAAAAATATTCTAAAACTCCTAGACCGTGGGCACTTAGGATGGCGATGTTTTGGAGTTTGGCGCTGCTGAGCTTCCTTCTTTTCCTCAGTGCCTTGGGATGCATGGAAAGTAACATTGTAACATACACTGTCTAGAATATTCACAAGCAAACAATAATCACAATGATGATAATAAAGATAGGATGGTTTGGATTCTGGCCGGAGATTTCAGCATAAGAATTAGGGTGTTATTCAAGGAGTGGTCGAGGTCCGAGTGGTGCACCTTAGCACAAACCAGGTATAGGTTTTAAAGGTGTGCACCTACAAATGTTTTTCATATATCTAGACAAATGTGTTTTTTCATGGCCCCTTTCGCAAATGACCACTTGTGGTGTGCAGGTCACGTGACGTGACCCCCCAAAACCCAACTTCTACATGTGAAGCCTAATCTTGCTTTTCGTCCTGCCATGCAATTGGCGAAGCCCTGAAGATCCCTAAGCCCTAAACCC